GGGCTGGGGTTGGAAAAGGAGCTATGCATTGAAGGCAATAAACAGCTTTGATGCACGAACACCATTGAGGGCGCGACTGGGCCATGTCTGACAATGTCTCCAGACATTGATGTGCCCCTTCTCGGGGTCCCCATCCAGGAAGACGGCAGCTGAGTTTGCTGGGACACCTTAATGCAATATTCCTCTTGAGGGAAGCTCACAGATTTTTTTCGGCTGTGTGCATGGAGGGCTGCCCGGTCAATCGGATTGGGGTTGGGAGGTGGGATGGTTAACTGGCTCTTACTCTGCTTCGGTTTTGTACTTTTAGATCCAGACTATCTTGCTGATATTTGCACACCATCTCGTGACATGTCGGCTGATCTAAAAACGCTCTTCACACGCTTGCCAGTTCTACACCTTCTATTCTATCCTACTTACGCTGGGATGCTCGGCGATTTCCATCGTCTAGGTCACCAGCTTGTCCGTGTCGCAGAATGTCCTGGGTCACGTGTCTGTTTGAGTGGCCTTGACCATGTCATTCGTGGTCAGACTGGTAGGAGAGTGATTTCCGGTCGGACCGTGCATATTCACTTCCAGGCCAGACCCTACAGGGGAGATTTAGCCACAACAGCGACAGAAATAAACAGTGGTGAGGGCACATGGGGTGTGGCGGCAGCTATGAGCGCGAGAAGTAAGCAAAGCGTTAACTGTCCTCCATATAAATTCGTAATGGATAGAAGGGGGAACATTAGCAGCAGTCTAGTAAAAAACGCGGGAAATTCATGCTAGCTGTCATTAGTACTCTTGCAAGGTGATTTTCTCTCCCTGTTCTCCTAGGGGAACAGCCGCTGTCTCAAGATTTATCGATCTTTGTGAGATTTTCACTTCTTTCCGATGGGAACCTTTCATGGAATTTAAACTCGATCCTTTTGACTAAATGGCTATCATACGGAGAACACTACAGAGCTTGCCTATGTATAACCTGCTTGCTTTTATCTATCGGGGCAGCACAACCTCGCCGGACCTGTACTCGATTGATTAGCCTTTCGAGTCTTCAAGCATTTTTCCTGCCAGCGATTGACGGTTGAATGGAGGCGGGTAGCGATTGGGCAGTAGAAAAACTTTGCGCACTGAAGTGGCCTGTGCTCAAGTTCAAACAATGACGCAAAATAGGGTTTATCCACACTGCACTGGATAGTTGGCTCTTGAAAGTGTATGATTGCAAATTAGGATTTCTATCCAACCTTACATTATCTTTTGACTTTTTCTTTGGATCCAGTGAGAAAGCCCGTCATCGTTTCGTTTTCCGCGCCCCCGCACCCAAACCCTTCGCTTCCTAGTACCCGAATGAATACATTGAAAAGCAGTTGTAAAAGGGAAATATGTGCGTTTTATTGTCAACTAAATGTATTAGAAGTTTGAATATGGGCGTGTGCTTGTCTGTCAATAGTTGCGTAGAAATGTGGTCTTCAGAAATCATACCGTTTTTGGTTGAGCACAGCGATCAGTTGCGAAACGAACACGACACAAAAAAGTACCTTCCAAAAGTTCAACGTTTTTGATGTGTTGAATCAACAGATATCAAGAAAAAACCCTACCCAATCTGGACTAGTCAGGAAGAATAGTGCCCGTATCGCACAAC